TTTGACAATCGTGGCATTTCAAGTACCGTTAGAACTGTGGTTTAAACGTGTTTTTTCAATTCTTGAGGCCAATGCAAACACGTGCAAAACCTGATTTGGCACTAACGTCATTTGCACGACGAATGGATGGGTTTGAGTGGGTTTTGCTAACGTTTTTCTAGAGTCGAAAGATAGGGATCCCATTTCGGATACATAGATGTATCATCAGAGAAAAATTATTCATTATTGTTCAAATTACATTTTGTCATGTTTCTTGTTTGACTCAGTATACAATTGTTAATTCAGGATATTAAACCGTCAGCATTCTGTCTACAAGAAACTTATCTCAAACATACTGATACATTTGATTTTAGGCAGTACAAGTGTCATCACTCATTTTCTCTTCCAGGGGATAAAGCAACTGGAGGTGCTACTATACTAGTCACAAATAATGTCATTCGTAGTGACGTTCACCTGAAAACTAATCTTCAAGCCGTAGCTATTCTCCTTACTTTGCAAATTGCATTTACCATATGCACACTGTACATTCCACCTTCATCTGCTCTTCGACAATCTGATCTTCAGACTTTGTATGATCAGCTACTTAAGCCCTGTATCATTATGGGCGATTTGAACGGGCACAACCCTCTATGGGGAGGTACAAATACCATCAATAAAGGCAAGATCATTGAAGATAATAATTTATGTGTGTTTAATGATGACTCAAGCACTTATTTACACCCTGCTACAGGAACCTATTCTTCACTTGATCTGTCCCTCGCAGATGCAAATGTCTACAACGAATTTGATTGGTCTGTTCATGACGACCTTTGTGGAAGCGATCACTTCCCTACTATCCTAAAAGCTATAAAAACGGGATGATGATCCACCTTTATCACGTTGGAATTTTTCCAAGGCCAACTGGTCCTTGTTTGAAACAATGTGTGTGGACAAATTAGTACCTGACAATTTGGAAAATGTATCAGATCCCATACAGTTGTTTTCCGCTGAACTCAATGAAATTGCTGAACAAACAATTCCTAAGTCCTCTGCAACTCCTCATATTCGTAAACCATGGTTTAACAGTGATTGCAAAGAAGCCAGGAAACATAGGCAGAAAGCGAAAAAATATTTCCGCCGACATCCTACTGTACATATAAACAAAACAAGCGTCAATCTTGGAGAAACAAAATAAGTTCACGCACACCCATGTCTAAGGTGTGGAACATGGTTCAGCGAATAAAAGGCAAAGGTTCAAAATCTGCTGTCCACTATCTTAAAGATGGTGACAATTAAATAACTGATAAATCTGACATTGCAAATAAAATTGGCGAAACTTTTGCCATCGTCGACAAATTATGTTCCTGAGTTTCAGAGATATCAGAAACAACAGGAAAAGACAAAAGTTAATTTTGATTCACATAACGGTGAAGATTACAATGAAGTGCTCGCATTACATGAGCTTCACACAGCTCTTGAGCAAGCTCAGGATACTGCAGCGGGTGATGATTATATCCATTATCAGCTACTGAAACATTTGCCTGAATCTTTTGACACTTTTAGAAATATTTGATCAAATATGGACGTCTGGTAATTTTCCTCCGTCATGGCGTAATGCCATTGTAGTCCCAATACCAAAACCTGGCAGGGATCATACTGATCCAACAAATTACAGACCTATATCTCTAACCAGCTGAGTCTGTAAAACCATAGAAACAATACATTAACATGGTATCTTGAAACGAATAACCTTATAACCAATATTCAATGTGGTTTCAGGACAAATCGTAGTACCATTGATCATTTGTTACGTTTAGAATCCTTTGTTAAAAATGCAATAGTAAATAAACAACTTGCTGTATCGATATTCTTTGATCTCGATAAAGCGTACGATACCACCTGGAAGCATGGCATTTTGAAGGATTTGCATGATTTTGGTTTGAGGGGTCGTTTACCTCTTTTTATATGACAGTTTTTATCAGACAGACAATTTCAAGTCTGAGTGGGTTCAACCCTGTCTGACCATTACAATCAGGATCAGGATGTCCCACAAGGAAGCATTTTGTCTGTCACTTTATTTAGCATTAAGATTAACAGCTTATCCAAGGTTTTAAACGATTCCATCGATGGATCACTATTTGTGGATGATTTAAATATTTCTTGTCGGGATAAGAATATGCATACTACTGAAAGGCAACTGATGTTGTGTTTAAACAAAATAAATAAATGGTGTCTTGAAAACAGCTTTAAATTTCCCAAGTCAAAAACTAATTGTCTACACTTATAATAAGCCTTATAAGGACCCAGAACTATCTTGAAATGGCACTCCCATCAAAGTTGTGAAGGAGGCCAAGTTCTTGGGCCTTATTTTCGACTCCCATTTAACTTTTCTTCCGCATATCAAATGTCTCAAAAATAAATGCCTGAAGGCACTTGACTTGTTGAAAGTCGTTTCCAATTCTAAGTGGGGAAGGGATCAAATTACCCTCCTACATCTATATCGATCACTGGTACGTTCGAAGCTCGATTACGGCTGCATCGTATATGGTGGAGTCTGCAAAAGAAACATTAAAATTCCTGATTCTGTCCACCATCAAGGTCTAAGACTATGTCTTGGATCCTTTAGAACTTCTCCTGTTGACAGTCTCTGTGTTGAGGCCGATGAGCCATCTCTTACACAACAACGTATAAAATTATCCTTGCAGCATATAACAAAACTATATTCTAACGAGTCTAACCTGCATTTAACTGTGTTTTCAACCCTCTTCTTGAGGAACTGTACAACAAAAAGTCTTCTCTTGTTCCGCCTCTGGGATTAAGAGTCAAACCAGTACTGCTGCCGGCATTGAGCTGGAAAATATATCTCCTTCCCGTCTTCTTTCTTCTCCTCCTTGGCAATTGGTTAGGCCACAAGTCGACCTAACACTCACTTAATTTAAAAAATCAGAAACTAATGACTTACAATATAAACAAGAATATTATCAATTAAAAAGTAAATATAATACATATAAATGCTTATTTACAGATGGGTCCAAGGATGGTGGCGCGGTGGTATGTGCCACTGTCATCGGATGCAGAACAATATCTTCCCGATTACCGAATAATAGCTCTATTTTCAGCAGAAGCTAACGCCATATTAACAGCTCTTAAATATATGAAAAAACACCCTAAATATAAACAGTATATGATATTTTCCGACTCTCTTTCGTGTCTTCAGGCTATCAAAAATCTTTCTTGCAAACATCCACTTTTAATAGAAAAAAATATAATTATACAATGAGCTTGCTACTGGCCAATATGACATCGTCCTCTGTTGGTTACCCAGCCATGTTGGAATATCTGGTAACACTATGGCCGATTTTGCTGCTAAGGCAGCACTCAACAAATCTGTGACACCACTTCTTATTCCATACTCTGATTACAAAGCTTCTATTAGATCGTACATCCGTGATCTGATGCAGAAGAAGTGGGACACTCAAGTGGGTATGAATAAATTACATGATATAAAGTCGTATATTGGATATACCTACTTGGGTTGTCAGTCCAGATTTGAAGAGGTCATCATACGACGATGTCGTATTGGCCACACAAGATATACTCATGCATACCTATTGAAAGGTGAGGATCATCCGTTTTGTATCCCTTGTGATGAGAAAACCACGGTCAAGCATGTCCTGCTGGACTGTGTTGAATTCTCCATCATAAGGGATAACTATTTCAATATCAAAACAGTAAAGGATTTTTTTAATATAGTTAATTATCATTTAATCATTGAATTTTTAAAAGAAATAGATTTGTTCAATGAATTTTGATAGATGTTTTGTAAATAGATATAGTTTTATAATTGGTAGTTCAAATTATCAACTTAGATTGTTTGTGGCTGTACCCTCAAAGGGGATGGAAGTAGCGTAAAATTATTATCCTCCTGCGAGGGTTCGTAAGTCCCCAAAACTTTCAAAGTAAAATTTTCACGTACCAGGTTTTTAAACGTAGTATTTTTGTTCTTTTAAATTTCGGCCAAATTATCCTACAATAGCCAGCGGCTGAAGGGATGGTGTAAATCCAGCTAGGCTCCATGCAGGTAGCAAAAGTAATGTAAGTCCCCGTCGTTCCTAGTATGGTGATCTGCCTTCAGATGCTGGCGATCTATAGCCCGTGTTTTATATTGTATTGTTTTCTTTAATTACACTGTTTTAGTTTTACATGCTAGTTTTATGTTCATATCTGTGATACTCTAGTGTTTTTACTGTCCATCGTTGACAGGTTTAACTCTTCACAATGTATTCATTTTTGTGTAATGTATAAATTGTTTTCGTCACGGTACGGCTTAAATATTGCCGATGTGACGTTAAATATTCACTCACTCACTCACAAGTACAGCCAGACAGCTACAATGTAGCCTACCAGACACTCCTGAACACTGAATGTAAAGTGAAGAATGATCCACACTGGGCATCAACCTACTGTCTACAGATTAAAGATATGGTGGACAGGGGTGTGGCCAGAAAACTTTCCACAGAAGAGTCAGAAAGCTGGACTGGACCCACGTTTTATATCAATCACTTAGCATTATGAACCGAAAGTCACAAACACGGATTGTGTTTAATTGAAGCCAAGTCATAAAAGGCATCTCTCTCAACAGCTGTCTTGCCAAAAGCCAAGACTGCTACCTGAACAACAATGTTGGACTTTTGCTAAGGTGGCGAGAAGACGCCGTTGCAGTAGTAGCTAGGAGACACCAGGAAGATATTCAACTTCATTTACATGGAATCACTTGAACAACATTGTCATCGTTTCTTATGGAGAAATCTGGAAACTGATAGGAAACCATACATCATTGAACGTGTCAACATGGGGGATAAACCAGCTCCGGCGATAAGCACAGAAGCCATGTACAAGACTGCTGATATGTTTCAGGAGGAAAGTCCAAGTTAACTTCTCAAGTCAAGTTATGCTGATGATCTCGTTGATTCATTCAGAGACATTGTAGAAGCAAACAGATATCAGAGGAAGCGGAAAGTATGCTGGGCAAAGGTGGTTTTCAAGTCAAGTGTTGGCAGTTCAGTGGACAAGGAGAGGATCTTGAAGCTCCAAAGGGAAAATCTGAATCCAAAATGCTGCTCAAAGGAACAAAGGAGCACCTACGAGTATTGGGCATGGGTTTGAATCCTGGAGAAGATCTGATGGAAATTAAAGTAACACTGAACTTCTCACAGAAGAAGAAAGCTCAACGGACTGGTCCCAACTTGGAAGAGACAGACGCCCCAAGAGGTATACCAGATAGACTCACAAAAAGAATGGTCCTTGAACAAGTCATGACCATTCATGATCCTCTGGGTTTCTTAAGCCCATTAACACTTTTCGCAAAGATGTACTTGAGAGGCACATGGATATTGCAACGGCAATGGGATGAGGCACTCCCTCAGAGTCTCCAGGGGAAGTGGATCAAGTTCTTCAAATCTATGTTTGAAATAAAAAATGTGAAGTATGACAGGTGTTTACGCCCAGATGATGCAATTGGAAAGCCAAGTCTTGTCATACTCAGCGATGGAAGCGACATCGAAATTAATGAGTGTATCATTGAACCCACTGATCAATCAGAGCAATCTTGGGGTGATATTTGACAGCACTATTAGCCTTTAAAAGCACGTCAATAAAATGTGCAAGAATGCCTACTATTTCATCCCCAACATAGGCTTAATCAGGAAGAACATCAACCAGCAAACTGCTGCCACATTGATGCAAGCATATGTAGTATCTCGGTTGGACTACTGCAATGCTCTGCTGCAGGGGATTCCAGAATATCTTCTGAGCAAGTTACAGAGAGTCCAGAACTCAGCTGCCCGAGTTGTGACACCCACAAAGAAGGCAGAGCATATAACACCTGTTCTGGTGACATTGCACTGGTTACCCATCCGACAACGTATCCATTATAAAATATTGGTATTGATGTTCAAAGCCTTGCACAACTCGGCACCAGTTTATCTCTCAGACCTTGTGCAAGAATATCAGCCAACACGCCATCTGAGGTCATCACAACAACACATGTGCCAGACTGTAGTCTGCCGGACCAAGACATAATGGTGAAAGTTCTTTTCAGGTTTGTCGGCCCAGCTTTGTGGAACAAATTACCTCTCTCTCTTCGATCAGTACAGACATTCAGTACTTTCAAATCCAGATTAAAAACTCATTTGTTCAGCATTGCATACGGAGTTCAGCAACGCTCTTGAGCAGTCTTCTCAAGACTGGATATTTGCGCTATATAAATGTATATCAATGTAAATGTAAATGTAAATGAATGTACTCAGGTACAAGTCATTCAAAGGTGGCCATCAAATGAATGTTACCCCAAAAGACCTCCGTGAAGCAGAAAAGTTCATTGCAACAATCCTTGAAGACCTACAAAAAGGCTCAATGTTGAATTCAGTGATGATGACATATGGACTGTCGGGGAACGCATGAGAAGGTTCAACGCCATGACATCAGACTCGACAATACAGAAACTCCTACCTGCATGCCACTATGTTGCAAGGCTCTACATGAAGAAGGCCCATGAAGCAGGACACAGAGGAAGAAACGCTACACTTGCCAGATTCAGACAACACTATTTGGTTCGTCATGGAGACAAACTGGCAAACAGTGTGAAGGCAAACTGTCAGTTGTGTAAGTTAAGGGAGCCAACGTTACTCTCCAAGGAAATGGACCCCCTTCCAGAAGCGAGGTTGACGTTTTGTACACCATTCAATCATCCAATTTTGTTTGGACCATCTAAGATACGAGGTGAAGTTCACAAACGTACAAGTGGGAAGGCTCATGGAGTAATATTCACATACCTTGCTACAAGATGGTGTGCTTGACTACGACACACACTCATTCCTCTTAGCCTTCAGCAGATTTGTCAGCATCAGAGTCTGTTGTCCGACAGAAATGGTCAACGTCTCAACGCAATCTCAAGCCAGGTGATGTAGTTCTTGTTGCAGACAAAAGTGTTCTACGCGGAGACTACAGGCTGGGATTGATAAAGGAAGTGTTCCCCGGCAGTGACGGCAAAGTGCGCAGAGTGACCTACAAGAACCCTAAACAAGGTGAAAAACAGTCGGTGTATACTGGAGTGAAGGACACTACAGTCTCTCGCAGTGTGCAGCGTCTTGCGTTGCTTGTTCCAGTCGACAGGTTTTCAGAGATGGAGGATTCAAGTTCGTGTTGCAAATGATTTTAGTTCCAGTAATATTTTCAAAAGAGTGACTTTAGTTTTAGATGATTCTAGACAGACACTGATCGCAGCGACGCTTGTCCTCCCGGAGTATTGGAATCAGTTATTCAGAGACATTAAGTTTTATTAAGTTGAGTGCAACTCACCGCTCACAGTAATTTTGGTATCAAGGGGGATAACTCTAATTGGGGACATTATGAGCGGAAGTTGACGGTTAAAAGGAAGCCACGCGGTCTGCGTCATGAAGAGATAATTTTGAAGATTTATTTTGCAGTAAAAGAGCAGGTAAAAGTCTGTATTCGCCAGGAAAGTTTCACCTAACGTTTCAAATCACTTTAATCTATTACTACGCTAGGTTCTGCTTGAGTTTCAACGCAGTTACATCTTTGTCTCATGAATGTTTCATCAAGTCGCAAGTGACTTTCATGTATGTGTTGGAACCGTGTTGTTACAGTGGAGTTCTGCATTAAACAATTTAGACTTTGAGTTGATATTCCATGAATACGAAGAGGCTTAGCCATACACCCACATCGCAAAACAATACAAACGCATTGTCCACTCCCTCATTCAATCAACCACTTCACCAAACAAACAATCTCTCAATCAACCATCCTCTCGACCAACAAACCTTCAACCAATAAACCTTTCAACCCCCGAAACACTCACACAAATTATGAGGAATTCAGCCATTTCAACACAAATAACCAGGAATGATAAATTCACAAAATTTCAAAACCTTATTTCAAAAGTGACTTCCTTTTCCGCTAGCTTTGCATAGATCTTATCCAGGTCATAGGTTGGGATTCAAAAATCAACATAAAAAACCCCAGAAACAGTTCGGCATGGATCCCCAATCAAGCCTTGGGTCTAGTTTTAGTGAGCCTGATCTTTATATTGATCCAGGAGCCTGTTTTCAGTGAATATTTCATTAAGATGTGTCTCCAGCCATAATTATGTAGACGTGTCCGTGAGACACCACGTGTGTCCACAGTTGTATTTAAGACAGCAGGTGATAAGGCGAGTTGCTACAGTCTTTAAAGGATAATGTAATTTGATTCTGTACTGTGTTGGAAAATAGGCCTATGGAATTCATTATAAGAGAACGGTGTAGTAATCACGTATGGATGGGACTTGGCGTGGACAGAATATGGGGAGAGACCCAACTAGCCAAAGTTAAAAGTCGAAATGAACATTGACTACATGTAACAATGCAGATGAGTCAAGATACAAGATGTGTCAAGGTCATGCCAGAATTCTGCTGTGCCCAATTATGTGGTATCTCGTGCATGTGGGTTTCGCCAAGCCTAGGACCTGTTTCAGTGCAGATGTTAATTAAAACTTGCTTTCATCACGAACTAGGTTTGTTGTTGTTTTGCTCTGTAATATAGTAGATCGTCAACATGATCAGGTACTAGAAACAGATCACCCCTGAAGAAACCAGAAATGGGCTCCACACATTTTATCTACGTGGGGCTTCGAACCCGACCTCGGGCGTGACGGGCCGGACCATAACCACTATGCTTCTCCTTCCCCCTACACGGCCTCTATGTACTACGGTTTTCGCGAAACATTCAGGTGTGAAGTTTAAAGAAAGGTTTGAAATCAGATTACATACTCCTGTATTCGAATGAAACGACGCGCAAAATGAAAGCAACGACAAAGCGCTGTGTGCAATATCGTGTTATTCCCGTAACAACTCCGACCCCTGCCGCCTACATGCTTTCCCTTAAGCAAATATATTCGCAACCTAGATCTCAATAACGGTTGGTTGGCGTGCTCGGGGATAACCCGTCGTTAACCAGTACAATCTAACTCTACACCGACTCGGTGGAACGAGGAAGTTAAGGTAAGTGGGGTTGCTGGCGATATTTGCCAGATTTCATGTTTCATTTCAATTCTAACAATGTTAAGATAGAAATACGTCGGTACGCCGTGATTGAACGACCAGGGGTGAAATAATACGGTGGTAATAGTCTAAAATTTCAGCCATGGTGTTGTTCTTCCTGTGTGTGACCTTCCCACTGAGGGAACCGACTACCCTCACCTCAAACAAGTTGGTGTGTAGACTCACCTATACACTGACGCCAGTTAATTACTATGTCTATCATATGTACATATAACACAGTTTTGAGACAGTGTCGGTGCATAGTGTCAAGTGTTATTGCATTTGTTGGGAAATTTCTTACAGCTTGCTTTCGTTTTGGAAATGAGTTTTGCAATCTTGGCCAGTACATCATATACGCGACAATAAACGTAAATGCACCAATTGGAATAATAGTAATATGAAAAGCCTTTACAGGGGGACAAGACCAAACTAAAAAATATTATATAATCTAAACGTATTAAAGTTTACATGTTGTATAGGGGTGACACCATACTTGGGTTGTTAGGTGGCGTCATGAAAAACCAATTCTTATCAGTATGCACGTGATTCCCTATATCCATTTATCAATGGTTATGTACACAATATTGACAAGAGTGATTTTTTTGTCTCCTTTTCAACAGTAATAGATAGACGATATGGGAATGTGAGAACAAGTGACAACATAGAAATGAATCATTATTATTATAGGATATTTATATAGCACACATATCCACGCAACTAGTAAATGCACAAGGCACTGGAGTGTTCCCTTGATCAACGGATGTCTTTTTTTTGGCATTGTTTTAACCAACTCAACTCCCTGGGGAGTATTCAACTCATGCAGCCTGTTACCTCACAAGGTACCCATTTCCAGCTGGGTGAACTGGGCCCCCAATTCATGTAGTCACAGTATTTTGTCCAATGATGCTGCACGTTACTATACCCGCAACTTGGTGTCTGCATGTGTTCGTGTGTCCACCATCTGGTCACCTGCCATCGGATGATATTTCTATATCAACGTAAGAATGATGTCAATCACATGACGTGTTACTATGACAACTCTTGTCTCTTTGTACCCTCATAAGGTCATATGTTTTGCAGTATAGTTTCTTTATCTTTAACCACATGGGCACAATGTGTGGAGCCCTTTTATGGCGTCCCCCGCCCTGGTATTGCTGGAAAATTGCTAAAAGCGGCGTAAGACTAAACTAAACTCAATCAATCAATCTTTACCTTTAACAGGAAATGGTTTAATCCAGTTTTACTTATTTAGTACAAAAAGAGGCGTAACTTTATCAGTGACCACATCCTCCTTACACTGTTCATGAAATTCATGTTACTTGGAATTTGAGGATTACTTCTCACAAGTTACTTACTTACCAAGTTCTGACTATTTTTGACAGGAGTTGTTACAGAAACAAAGACACACAAAAGTAAACATAAATCATCAAGTAAATTGATTGGCTGATCAGACGTTAAAACAAACAGATAACTAGACACACTTGGTACAGCGAGGTCAGGGCCTCATCAACATTGGTTCCCCGTCAAAACCTAGCAGCCGGGACATACGTATATACTCAGAGATAACTTTGAAGATGACTAAGTACAGTTACTCAAACATTTCAACCTACATAGACTGGGTTGTAGTCTCTGTTACATTATTTTCATGTCATCTTACGTTAAACGTCTTTTCAATAAATGATGTGGTACAGGATAACGAGATGGTTGGATTATCCATTGATGAGGTCTTAGCAACCAGAGTATGGGTCACGTGAGAGGCTTATCTATTGATGACGTCACGTGTTGGCGATTAAATAATCATTAATCAAACTCATCATTTTAAATAGGCCATACATGCCAATATAGACATAACTTGGTAATCCGTGTGAGAAGTAATCACCTAACTCCAAGTTATTTCAAGAATTTCATGAACATGTCATTATGATGTGGTAACTGATAAAGTTGTCTTTTTGTACTAAATAAGTAAAACTGGACTAAACTAGTTCTTGTTAAGGTAAAGAACCCCTGGGCAGCAAGGGTAAAACCATATGTGTCACGTGTGCTTTATTAGATATTGACTGCAGGTGAACTTGTCCTTTGATGCTTGAGTTTTCCCCTTATATATCTTACAGTGAATATGGAAAAAAAGGAGTATGTATAATGTCTGATTCACTCAGTGATTATACATAACCACTGAAATTTTCAGGGATTATACATAATCACTGAGAAATAGACTAGAATTTTAGATATTCATCTGCGACGCTTGTCATCTGTGGAAGCACTGGTATATTTACAAATTTGAAATGAACACCTGCTATCGTTTATATATTATTATTATCATGTATTACATCTGCATCTTCTGTTTGCAGATGGCGACGTCTCAGAAACTGCAGCAACATTTCCTCACATGCACCATATGTACAGAAGTATTTGACAATCCATGCACCCTTGTCTGTTATCACACATTCTGTCGGAAATGTGTGGTAAACTACACAAAAACCAAACCAGATGCCATCAGTGCCAAGTCTCTGCTGTGTCCTTTCTGCAGCAAGATGACGAAAGTGAGTGCCCCTGAGAGACCAATAGATGAGTGGGCGGATGACGTGACACCGAGCTTTGTCATCCAGGGACTGCTAGACTCTTTTGGCCCCGGATGTAAAGGTAAGGATGAAAGCTGCACTGGTTGCAGCAATGCATGGTGGTCTATTGGGTGTGTCTTGCACCACACTTAACAGAAGGAATAATAAACACGTGCAGTTAGACCTACGATCTGTTAAAGACTCGGCTCTGGTCGTAATGTTTGTAGTCGTCCCAATAAGACACGCTGGCCCTTTAGCCTTTGCAAAGGCAAGACAACTCCTTACTGAAATGTGTACTATGCCCTTTTTAAATCTACGTGTTATTTTGAATACACTCATTATTTATGGATACGTGTTTCAATTTGTACCTACACAATACCCATGGATGTGGTAATACTGCATGTCTGTCTCAGAAATCACTTGGTCGAAGTGGAAATGAGACATTTAGGTGATGCCCAGTTTTCAATGTGTCAGTCTATTCACTTGAGTTCCTGAATTTTTAAGTAAGTCTAGCAGATGTTTGTACTTTATCTCGTGTTGTGAAGTAGCTTACACTAATATTAAGTAGTAATAACCTTTGACAAAACATGAACATTCTTTGCCATTACATATATAGATAGATTGGGTGAATTTAATTTATCCCACCGCCCTTATATAGATAGATGTGAGCACAAACACTCGGTGATATAATGCTGGCCGCTTGTCCTCAACCATGTTTTCTCCAGATACGAAGAACTGCACGTGCTGTCATCGCGAAGGGGAGACAACTCTAGCAACTGTGTGGTGCTCGGTGTGCGATGACGCCCTGTGTCACGCATGTGCTAGGGCGCACAGTCTCATCTCAGCCACTCGTCATCACGATACAACTGACCTGTCTGGTGAGGCCGTTATCCCAAGGAAACGAAACATCAAGTGTAAAGAACACAAAGGTGAAAACATCAAATTCCTGTGCAAAGATTGCAAGAAAGTCACCTGTCACACCTGTTGTGTTATCTATCACAGGAAATGTGAGTCAGTTGTCACATTGGCGTCGGAATTACCTGCATTGAAGTCCCAGCTGTTGAATAAGAAGGACACTATTTTGACGAAGAAAATGGAAATGGAAGCAGAAGTTGATGCAGTAAAAGTGGACGTCACTAGTGAAAAAGATAGATATGCAAAAATAGAACAGGGCATCAAATCTGTTGGTAGCAAAGCTAGAGAGACGATAACGCTCATGGAAAGTAAACTCCTAGAGGAACTGAAAGAAGTTTCTGAAAAGCACATTGAACAAATGACAGCCGACATAAAGTCGGGTGAAATATCAATACAGATGTACCGACAACAGGCTGAGCTGATAGAGCAGACTCTACAATCTGAGTGTGATATGGACGTTTATGAGATGTATCAGGGATGTGATGCCGGTGATGTGGATACTGTCGGAGACGTAGACGTGAAGAAGAGGGGTAGAATAGCCAGGATCATGTTCATACACAACACATGTACAGACAGGCTGAGAAGAGCACTGGACGTTCTACAGCTGGGTGAGATAGATGTCCAGTATGACGGTATGCAGCCCCTGTGTCACAAGACCCTGGTAAAGTGCTGGACCTTACAAGACTCCATTAACGCTAGTGTAGCAGGAGACGAGTATGAAGTATACCCTGTTGACGTAACGGTGTTTCCGGTGAATGGTACATACACATTGGTTCTAACAGACTACGACAACAACAGTGTGAAGTCCTTCTACACCAGGAACAAACAACGACGTCACAGCAAGCTCCAACTGGGGGGTTCACCGTGGGGTGTAACAAGGCTGAAACACAACCAGGTGGCTGTCACTGTGATGCATAGGAGGCAGATTGTAACAGTTAAAGTGAACCCTGACCTGGTGCTGCTGTCGACAATCACAACCAGCAAGCAGTACCGGGGTATAACGTCTCTGACACCATCAACACTAGCAGCAGGTTCTGAAAGATGTGTGGATATTCTGGACATGAGAGGAAACGTCATAAAGTCGATGAACACTGTAGGTAGCAGAAAGGAAATCATACAATCTCCTTCCTTTCTTTGTACAACAAGAACAGGAAACATCCTTGTGTCGGATAGAGGTTCGAAGCGTGTCCTGTGCCTGACAGCTGAAGGGGACGTTGTGTTCACCTTCCCTACACCAGGACGCACAACACTGGGATATCCACGTGGTATCACAAGTACCAGTACAGGTGACATCCTGGTTACTGACTACTATCAACATACTGTTGTTCATCTTACAGAGTCAAGACAGTTTGTCAGAAACATACTCACGGAAGATGATGGTGTCTTGTTCCCGCAAGGAGTTTGTGTAGATGGACGTGGCCGTGTTTATATTTGTAATTACCGTTCAGGTGAAATCAAAGTATTCAGTTTCAGTAACACAATATAGACCTTTGATTCTTTCTCAAGTGATCATTGCATCTGTAAATATTCCAATTAACTACATTTACAACGGCCTCCTGACTGCAGATTGACGGAGCTGGTGTTGATAAATCATCACATGTAATGTACTGTGTGACTGAGCATATCTAATATATAGTGTGAATGAGTATTTCTGACTGTATAGTGTGAATGAGTATATCTAAGGTATAGCGTGACTAAGTATATCTAATATACTGTGTGACTAAGTATATATATCTAATATACTGTCTGTCTGACTATATCTAATCTACAATGTGACTGAGTATATCTAACATACTGTGTGTCTGAGCATATCTAATGTACTGTGTGACTGAGCAAATCTAATGTACAGTGTGAATGAGTATATCTAATATACTAGGTGACTGAGTATATCTAATGTACAGTGTGACTGAGCATATCTAATATACTGTGTGTCTGAGTATATCTAATGTACAGGACCGCCTCCGTGGTGTAGTGGTTAGAGCGTCCGCCCGAGAGAGCGGAAGGTCGCGGGTTCGATCCCCGACCGCGTCATACCAAAAGACGTTAAAATATGGAACTTGTTGGTCCCTGCCTGGCGCTCGGCATTAATGGGTACAACAAGGACTGGTCGGCTCGGAGTCAGTATATAATGTGTCTGAGTGGGGTATTCATGCTTCACTGCGGCATGGTATCTCAGTGGGCTAGCACTATAAAACCAGCTTCAGTCTGGGCTAGTACAAGCAGCCGCACATACACATACACACGCATGCCCGTTGTCATATGAGCGAAATATTCTCAAGCACGACGTTAAACCCAATTTCACCTCACCTCACCTCTAATGTACAGTGTGACTGAATATATCTAATATACTGTGTGTCTGAGTATATCTAATGTACAGTGTGACTGAGTATATCTAATATACTGTGTGACTGACTATATCTGATGTTCAGTGTGACTGAGTATAACTAATATACTGTGTGTCTGAGTATATCTAATATACTGTGTCTGAGTATATCTAATGTACAGTGTGACTGAGAATATCTAATGTACAGTGTGACTGAGAAGTCTATTCTATAACCGAGAATATATGATATACTTTGAGACTGGGGAAAACTGATATTTAGTGCCAGTTAGTATCACTTGAATGTCCATTGAACTTCGTGTACCGTATACAAATCAGAATAAGTTTTATTGTGGTGTATTAGTATATGTAGCAGGACTGAATCAATGAAGACACACTTACTGGTATCGGTGTATATTATCTTTAGCTTAAACTTAGAATGCAAAGCATAATGTGTACATAGGGCTATTACACTATTTGTGAAATTACTTAAATTTCTAAATTAATCCATTTGTATATTAGGTTCATCAAAATGGACTGATATTCTGTCAATGTGAACAGTTCCGCGTATGTGACATTTGCTTCAGTGCTAATCACCTTTACCTCAACTTGGAATTGATGTCAGATTCCAAGCCTGTTCTTTGTACCTTGAATTATTTTGCATCGTTATAGATATTCATATTTCGTGGATATAACTTAGATTAATGTATGTAAATGCAAACTTTCTTGCTATTTCGAGCAGCCCGGAGAAAATGTTTAATTCCATGTGGGTAGTACTAGTACTGCTTTCTCCAGCAGTAACTGTGACTTCTGTGTGTGTGAAGATGAATTTACAAGATTTGTGTTCCGTGTGATATGATTTACTACTTCTCGATCAACGCGTTTCCAATTACATGTACTACATCAACGCGTTTCCAATAAACGAGATCAAGTACTTCCTGTTATACGACTATTCTCAATAGCCTGTCAAAGGCACTGCTCTGTTCACAGGTTGTGTCTGCGAGTAGTTACACAGAAAAACTTGTTTCCATGTTTATAAGTGCAGTCAGGTAGTGTTTTGTATCTATTATTGGGATCTAGAGCTGAAATTGTGTTGTAGGGTTAATGGATGACAGGGTCATCAGGGTCACGTGTATCCCTGTGATCTTGGTATGGGAGTTCGTTGTGCAGAACTGTGTTTATTAGGAGCCGTAAAACCCTGTTCGGTCTGGGTATCCTCAAGATTCAAGATTCAGTAACATACTTATCTTTGTATAGCGCCAATATCCAGCTCAGCTGCTCAAAGGCACTTTGTTTTTTCCCTTGATCATTGGATGTCAATCTCAATGGCACATCGTATTTTTCAATCTCAACTCCCTGGGGAACATACAATTTTTGCAGCCATTTAGGCGCAGTGTAGACATTACTTGACTATGATAAAGGGACAGTATGACTTAACCTCTATCCACCGACTATCCATGTGTTAGAGGGACAGTGTGACGTTGCAACTGTGAAGTGAATATTACATTTAACCTCTATCCACCGACTATCCATCTCTTAGAGGGACAGTGTGACGTTGCAAATTTGAAGTGAACATTACATTTAACCCCTATCCACCGACTATCCATGTGTTAGAGGGACAGTGTGACGTTGCAAATTTGAAGTGAACATTACATTTAACCCCTATCCACCGACTATCCATGTGTTAGAGGGACAGTGTGACGTTGCAACTGTGAAGTGAACATTACATTTAACCTCTATCCACCGACTGTCCATGTGTCAGAGATGCTATGTGACTTGACCAGGTAATCCAGTGATTGACATTGTGAGCCCTGCTCCATGCCGCTCCAGAACACCTGGTCCGTTAATCGCCTCATCACAAATTATGTTGCTTGGGTCCTTACAAATTGACTGCAGTTTAAAAGATATGTGTATGGCACCGTCGAAGGTATATTTTGACTGAGCAAATAAATGACGAAATTTACCAAACACTTCCCTGGCCTTCTACTATACATCATCCACTGCCATACAGAAGGAACAGTTGTTGCATGTCGTTTCAATCATGATCAATACAGCTGTTTTCGGTATGCCTGAAAAGTATTTTCATGGGTTCAAAGCAGTTCAACCTTGATTTTAGACCTGTCAATCACTCAACCATCCACTCAACCCAACAATCACTCAGTCAACCATCCAACTAGTTAACCACTCAACCACCCAAACACTTACTCAACCAACCACTCCCTCAACTATCCAACTACTCAACTACTCAACCACCCACACACTAACTCAACCAGCCAGGAACTCGGCCACCCAACAACTCAACCATATCAACCGCTCGGCCAGAGAGAAGACTTCAAAACTTCCTTTCAAAAGTGATTTTCCTTGTCGCTAACTTTGCATAGATCTTATCCAGGTCACATGTTGGGATTCAACAGTCAACTAAAATACTCACCGGAAAGAGAGTTAACATGGACCTACAATCAAACCTAGGTTCTAGTTTCATTGAGCCTGATCTTTGCTGCAGTCTTTAAAGGAAAGTGTAATTTGATGTTAGAATGTGTCGGAAAATAGGTCGATGGAATTAATTCTAAGAAAATGGTGATACAGTTCAGTGGGTAATGATGTATGGAAGGGACTTGGCGTGGACAGAATGTGGGGAGAGGCAAATAGCCAAGACATGAAAGGGGAAATGAACATTGATTACATGTAACAATGTGGATGTGTCAAGAATTATAAACATCGACCAAGTGTATTTAATTCTGTGGAGATCTCTTCTTTGAGTGGCATTTCTGAAGGTGGGAAGTACAATGTAGACACACGTTATGGATAACAACATCTTCCAATTCTAACAATGACCAGGTATAGCGGCTGATGGACAAGTTGTGAAGTAATGCGGGGGTAAAAGTCTACTAATTCAGCCATGGTGTTATATTTCCTGTGTGTGGTAATTCAGACATGGTGTTATGTTTCCTGTGTGTGGTAATTCAGCCATGGTGTTATGTTTCCTGTATGCGGTAATTCAGCAATGGTGTTATGTTTCCTGTGTGTGGTAATTCAGACATGGTGTTATGTTTCCTGTGTGTGGTAATTCAGCCATGGCGTTATGTTTCCTGTGTGTGGTAATTCAGCCATTGTGTTATGTTTCCTGTGTGTGGTAATCCAGCCATGGTGTTATGTTTCCTCTGTGTGGTAATCCAGCCATGGTGTTATGTTTCCTGTGTGGCAATTCAGCCATGGTGTTATGTTTCCTGTGTGTGGTAATTCAGCCATGGTGTTATGTTCCCCGTGTGTGACCTTCCCCGCTGTGTTGACGTGTCTACTTTCGTTATGCGTACAGGAACCGGCTACCCTCATCTCACACAAGTTGGTGTGTGGACCTACCGATACACTGACGTCAGTGAATTACTATGCCTATCATATGCGTGTATAATGTCAAGGTGCACTGCCTTTGTTGGACAATCTCTTACAGCCTACTTTCTATATCGAAATGAGTTTTGCAATCTAGGTCAGTCCATTGTATACGCGATAATAAAACGTAAATGAACCTGTTGATAGCGCCTCTGGTGATATGAAAGACATTTATGATAGACTGACTAAAGACAAAATTCAACAGTTTATTAGTAAGTCTATGCGTATAATTAAAGTTTACATTTTCGAGAAATATATTTGTCAAGTTAGGTTTTATAATCGTATATTGGGAAGAAATGACGGAGTGATAATGTATGCAATGACAGTAGTACATGTGCAATATCGTGTTGTGTAGTTGACACGTGAACCCGTACCCATCGTGTCTTGTCTGAAGGTGTAGTTACATCGTCGTGTTGTGTGTCGACGCTAACAAGTAGCCGTTTAGTACTCGGTGATCAATTGACATGGTGTGAAGCAATAAGGTGGTAATTGTTTTATAATTCGTGTTTGAGTCCTTCCCTCTGTGTTGCCAGGTCTACTTTCCCTAAGCTATGTTCAGGTATATGGATGTGTACACGACTCTGGTGATATGAATAACCTTTACGAGAGACTAATAAACCCACAAAAATCAAAAGTATATTATCAAATCTAAATGTATTTAAGTTTACAATTTGTGAAAAATCAAGTAATGTGAGGCTCTAAAGTCGTATAATGGGTAAAATGACGGACAGGTACAGAGAGCAATGAAAGAAGTGCATGTGCATGTCCTTCCTCTGTGTTGCCTGGTCTCCTTTCACTATGTACAGGTATATGGACATGTACACCCAAATGTCAGGTGTCTGTGGACATGAGGATACATTGATTCAAGATGGAAAATTAATAGGGCTGTCATTTCTACATTTTATACAAATGTTCGACAGTAATTATTCATATGGCTAGTGTTGTTGCTGGCGCAAAACAGTTGACACCAGTCTACTTTCGTTATGCAAATGAGAGCTGATATCGATATGTGGTATTTGAGTGACAATACACGTACCTTGACCTGGTGAACACGGCTGTTCTTCTTTCACAAGGGACAAATCGAAAGAAATAGGCTCTATCAAAATTTGAACTCAATAAAATAACATTGATTCATAATTTGTATTTGTATCACATTCTGTGTATGTAT